GTCTAGGAGTCAGCCCTGAGTTTAGTAGATCTACAGAGGGAGGGAGCCAGGCATTTCCATTTCTAGCTACTTCCCAGGCAGTACTGCTGCTGGCTCTTCCAAAGTATAACTGTAGCTGCTGGTAAAGCTCTTAATAAAGATGAGAAGTACCTAGTGTTTGAAAGTCATGTCATCCCTTCCCTTCACCATCTGTCCTCAGATAATTACAGTTAAGCATCACCTGTTACTTACTGTGCAGCTTTACAGTAGACATTGCAGACCCTAAGTGTACTCTGTGCTCTGAGGAGTCATTTGTACTCTGTAAAGTGTACGTTAATATCTACTCTTTGATGAGATGTGTGTATCCCTCACCTGTGGGGACCGTAGTGCTAAAGCTTGAGAATGTAAGACCTATGTAATTCCAGTCTGGACTTTCATTAGTTTCTGTTGGCTGAAAGTATTCTGTTTTGGACAACAAGGTGGCTCAGCAGGTAAAATAAATTTCCATACAGCCTGATGACCTAAGTTCAACTCAAGAACCCACATGAAATGAGGAAGGGGAGAACTGGCTGCACAGAGCTGTCCCCTAGTCTCCATGCGTGCTGTCACCGCACACACATGCACATCATCATAATGATGACATTAAAATGTTCTGCTTTGTATGTGCTTTAATATTGTAGCCTGCCTTGCATCTTTCAGTGCAGTTTTGGGAATAGGCATCCTAAAATATATATCATAAAAGACCATAAACATTTTATCGATCTTTGGTTTTTATTCATTATGAGTCCTTAATGTTTCATGTTGCTGGTTAAACTGGAAACAGTATGCAATCTCCTAGATTTGAACTGCTTTTCTGACTTAGATGCCTTGTTAGGTTAAACTTGAAAAAGGTTTTAGTAAAATAGCCTACTTTACATTTGTTTATTGAATAAAAAGGTAAACAAACATAGATGTTTTTAAATTCTAGAGTGAGATTTAATTAGTGCCAATAATTTTGACACTTTCTGAATTTTTTTCATTTGCTTTGCACAGAAAATATTTAATTAATAGACTAGGGTGACTTGTGTCCTGATAATGAAAAAAATAAGGGTATTCTAACTTGCATGTATACAGATAATTATCCAGAAATCTTTTGAAAATTTGTAAAATGTGGAAAGGGAGAGATCACTTTCAATGCTCCCTTGTTAGATCTATGCTTATCAAACTCTCTCCCCCGTCCCCCCCCCCAAAAAAAACTTGTGTTTTACAAACTTTAAAGCATTACAGAAGTTGTCTACATGGGGCTGAAGGCGTATTAGAATATGTGCTTGTGTTAGTCTCTAAGGCTGTGGCTTCAGTTCCTCTCATCAGTGTGAAATAATAAACCTTTTCATTATTATTAATAATATATTGGTAAGGCTGTGTCATTTAGATATCTGCCATTAACTGATACTTTGTAACCCTTAAGGTACCTCTCTGAATTCCTGTATGCATGGCTGATGTCAACCCTGAGCCGTGCTGATGGCTCTCAGATGGCAGAGGAGAGGATAATGGAAGAGCAGCAGAAAGGCCGTAGCAGCAAAAAAACAAAGAAGAAAAAGAAAGGTGCAGTAGATGGTCTCATTCCTTATTCAGCGAGGGTCTCACTGTTAGCCAGGCTGACCTGAGTAAACAGCCTACTTGCTAGTCTGCCCCGTCACACCTGGCTTTGTGAACTATTTTTAAACTTGAAATAGAATGACCACCTTACCTTTGACTGACAAGTGGCTAAAGATGTCTTTGTGAGCCGAAGTAGCTGCACGTGTCTGCCGTCCTCTTTCCCCACCGTGCACAGACTAGAGGGGAGGCTGAGTCCCAGTGTCAGTGATGGCAGTGTTCAGGTCCTTTCCAGTTCCGTACACCGGAGGTCTTGGAGCAGGAGGCAGCACACAGGTTGTGCCAGCAGAATAGACGAGAGAGCAGGCAGGGGTCCACCCTGAGTTGTGCTGCTTTGTTGGTGTGGACAGGTGATCACAGAGTTAAGAACCCCAGGAATCGGATGTTTCAATGGGACTACCATTATGTCTTGCCAAAATTCTATAGTGCTAGCTAGTAAGAGAACACAGTTGTTTAACTTCAGCTCAGCTCATTATTTATAGATTTAATTTAGAGATTTATTTATATATAAAATTTAGAGAAGCAAAATGGAGTTTACATTCAGTAAATAAGTGAGGTATTTCTTACTTAGTTTTTCTTCTACAGTAATTTAGGAGAGGGGAAAAGAGTACAGAAGATTTTTTGTTTCTGATTACAGTTCGCCCATTGAGCCGAGAGATCACAATGAGCCAGGCCTATCAGAACATGTGTGCTGGGATGTTCAAAGTAAGTGGTGAAATCAAGACCTTGATGTTTCGCTCTCGTTCCTTTTTCTTTCTCGAGACAGGGTTTCTCTGTGTAGCCCTGACTGTCCTGGAACTCACTCTGTAGAACAGGCTGGCCTTGAACTCACAGAAATCTGCCCGCCTTTCTCCTAAGTGCTGGGATTAAAGACAGTGCTCCCACCGCCCGGCTTTCCCACCCCTGTTGTGTTTCCACCTGTGAGGCTCCCTCGCTCCGTTCTAGTTGTGGACTCACACAGTTGGCCCTGGCTCGTGGCCAGGTAGCGTTCCTGCAGCATGGCTGCTGTACGCAATAGCAGATAGTTTTACAAGGCTGTGGACATTAATTCTTAGATTGTACTGGCAATTCAGAAAGATCTGGGGTAACTCACCTGAGGTTCACAAAGCTAAGAGGGGACCTGGAAAAGACACTGGTCTGTGTGATTATAAGGGACTTGTTCTTCAACATTTTACTTCAGGTCTCAAGGCAACTACAGAAGCATGAGATGCGGAAGAGTGGTGTCGGGGAGGCGGGGTGGGAATGGGAGGGGAAGTGTGTGTGTTCCCACAGGGACTGGAAAAATTACTATTTTTAAATTAATGTATCATTTTCCCCTCTTCTCCCTCCAACTCCTCCCATGTATTATCACCTTTCTCTTGAAGTCATAGCCTCTTCAATTTATACACACACAAGATGTGTGTGTGTGTATTACGATACATATATATATATATATATATATCCTAATATATATTCTTAAATAATTACAATCTCCCCAGTCCATATAACATTCCTTGTATGTATATGATTTCAGGGCTGACTGCTTGGTATTCGATAAACAATCAGAGGCTGGAAATTTTTTATATAAAACATGGCATATAAATTTAAAATGGATGAGAAATCTGTTTTACTCTTCCTTTCTCTGATTTCTGAGATGACATTTTAACTATTTAAGTTGTGGCTTCTTTTTCCTGTCTAATGTAGATATTCACCTTTCACATGGACTTCTTTTTTATGTTTTCTCATTCCCTTCTCCTTAGACGATGGTAGCGTTTGACATGGATGGCAAAGTGCGCAAGCCCAAGTTTGAGCTTGATAGTGAACAGGTTCGGTATGAGCACAGGTTTGCTCCGTTCAACAGCGTGATGACCCCACCCCCAGTGCACTACCTGCAGTTCAAGGTGAGCCTGCTGGGGGGCACAGCAAGCCCTTCCACTGGACGCCATGCTAGAGAGGTTGTGTTTACAACCAACCCATCTTGCTGGGCCAGTGGGACAAGTGCTAAAATAGCAGTCTTAATGGTGTCGGAAGTGTTTGGACTTGTTGATCACATGAGCAGTTTATGTTTACATCATTAGGATAATTGAGATCAGGTGTGTGCAGGTGAAGATCTGCATATCACTGGTGTGGGAGAATTGTCTGTATTCTGTCAATCATATTTTAATAAAACGCTGATTGGCCAGGCAGGCAGTATAGGCGGGAAAGCCAGACAGGAAGTAGGGGTGGAGCAAAGAGACTGGGAGTATTCTGGGACGCAGGAAGCTCCCTCCACATTCCTGCGCAGACCACCGAAGAGGCAGCATGTAACTTGCCCAGCTGAGAAAGGTACGGAGCCATGTGGCTAATGTAGATAAGGATAATGGGGTAATATAAGTTATAAGAGCTAATAAGTAGCCTGACCTAATGGGCCAGTCAGCTTATTGATTTTCTTTGGGACTTGCTGGTTGTGGGGTACTGCGCGGGACAGATACCCCAAGCTAGCTGGCCCATCATGTTACATATCACGTGGGTTCAGTCTGAGATGTGCTAAGCAATTGCTTCAGAATCTGGATGGCTGGGTAGTCAATTAGTAATAACTTTAAAAGGTTTATATTAAGTATATTATGATAGTCTCTCTTCTGTTTAGGAAATGTCTGACCTCAATAAATACAACCCTCCTCCTCAGTCTCCAGAGCTGTATGTGGCAGCTAGTAAGCACTTTCAGCAAGCGAAGATGATCCTTGAAAACATCCCCAACCCAGACCGGGAGGTAAGAGTGGGTTCACTGTACTTCCAGGGGACACGCCTGCTACTAGGTGAACGTTAACTATAGTGAGTCAGCTGACAGCAAGAATTTCAGGTAAGTTTGCCAACTTAACCACCCGATAGGGTCTCACGCTGTAGTCCAGGCTGATCTCTGAATTCCCGGTAATCCTCTTGCCTCTGTCTTTCTAGTGTTAGGATTATTAAGTCATGATCTACCATGCCCAGCTTCTATTATAAGTCTTAAATATGAAAAATCACGTAGCCAGTTACCATAGAATATTTTACCATACTTGACCATATGAAGTAAAGGCTGTTGCATTAAAAGACAGATATACCAGAATAAACTTTGAAAGCAAACATGGTTTAGACATTTGATGATCTAATAGTTTGTACTGTCCCCAGCGTAACTGAGATCCATTTACTCTGTTAGCGCAGGAGTTACATGGTGACATGTGTTAGTCACCAGGGGAGCCCTTGATGCAACTCAGTGCAGGTGATTCAGCATTGTCTATCAGAAACAACCAGTGCTGGGCTCAGGGATGGAGTGTGCTTCCCTGTCACACGAGGCCCGGGGTCTACCCCTAGCACTGCAAATAAATTCACAGGGGGGAAATCACCTTTCAGATACATGTGACATACAGAAAGAGTGATGAGTATAGGTGAGTAATCACATAGCAGGTTTTAATTAATTGCAAATAATATAACTGCAATCCAGTCACTCACGGGGTCAAGGAGATTAAGCTAACAAGGATCTAACAGTGTGAGTGGCACACTACCATTTCATTGAAAGTTGGCAGAGGAAACTGTATTATGAAAGCAAGTCACTTCTGTTCTGCGTTAGCCTCTGAGAAACATTGAATGCCTTGGAGAAGAAAGCAGGAAGGGAGATGTAAAAATTGTATTTTAGTTAGGTATGATGCCAGAGGCAGAAGGATCTCTCTTGAGTTCAAGGCCAGCTATAGCTACATACTGAGACCCTATCTCAAAAACAAACAAACAAAAAAGTATATACTCCAGCTAATAAAAATGGTAATTACAAAAATTTGAGGAAGGTTTGGTAATGGAAGACATTTCACTTAGTGGGAATTTCATTGTTTTACTCAAAGATTTGTCAAGTATCTCTATATTCCCAGCAGAGAACAGCTGTGATGGTGAGGGAGGGGTCATGGTGTGCACTGTACAGAGAGCTGAAGAAACACTGCCATCATGGGCAGAGAGGCAGCCCTGCTTCCCTACTGCTTGGTGTTAAACCCAGGGTCTTGAGCACTCGGTACAAACACTTCTACCACTGAGATGCTTTAAGCATTTTAAATAACTCAATTTAGTAAATTTTAGAAGGGGAAGCAAGTCACATGTCAGGGATGGACCCTTCTAGACAGGGGACCCAGATGCAGAACACTGCGCCTGAAGTGTTTGAACAGCAGTCCGGGATCCTGGGGTGGAGTTGGGAGAAGTGAGCAAAGGACAGCCAGGTCTGCCTGTGGTAGAGGAGCACTCCGATGCTCTGCTGACAGTGGTGACAGTCACAGCACAGGAGCAGTGATCCAGGTGAGGGGGGTGTGGTCAGCCTTCCCCCAGGTTTGCAGTCTTCTGGGCTGACTCACGGGCTAGACGTGGGATATGGGAAAATCAGGGAGGACTTGAAAGGGCCTGGGCAACTGAGTTCATTGGTTTGCACGGTGGCAATATTGCTGTGGTGTGGACCAGTGTAGTTTTGGATATGTCAAATTATTATTATCGATTTATTTTTATTTTTTGAGACAAGGTCTCATCCTGTAGTTCAGGCCTGGAACTACCTGGGCTTACCTCAGACCCTGGCAGGCCTCTTATTCAGCTTCAGGTGCTGAGATTACAGCTCTGAACTTCTGTGTGCACCTTTTCCAGGAGATGTGAAAATGAAGCTGCTTCCTCAAGGCGGGTGGATATCTGTTGTGGGATTGAAGAACCCATCCTGCCCTTTGGTACTTCCAGAGGTCAATAATGCAGAAGTGGGAACTTGTGGGTTACCTGGGAGGAATCTAGCATCACTGTTACGATTCATGTGTTTCAGTGAAACTGTGTAGACTAGTAGTTGTCAGAAATAAGTTAGTGTTCCAAGAACACTCACTCCTTGTCGGGATTGTTTCTGAGCTTTAAACACAGCCATGTGCTCCAAGTGCAGAGCTAGGCTGTGCTGGTCAGTGTCTGCATCCACAGTTGGATGTGCAGCAGGAGACTGTCCGTTAACTCGGTTCTCAGCAGTTTTCATGGGGGTGAGAATCTTCACCTTCAATTTGATGAAAGTGGGGAACTCACGGATGAGAGGACTTTGGGGTCCATGGTGAAGCTGCGGTATTGCTGCATGTTCTGAACACAACTGTGGTCTCTGCAGGACGTGCAGTGACTGGAGGTTCATGACTGGTAGATGGGAGGTGTGTTCAGAGAAGTGCAGTGTGCGAGTGCATGCAGCACAGCACTGGCTCCTGCAGCCCTGCCCTGCCGTGCTACTGACGTTCCTCTTGTTTCAGGTCAGTAGGATCCTCAAGGTTGCCAAGCCCAACTTCGTGGTCATGAAGCTTTTAGCAGGAGGGCACAAAAAAGAGTCAAAGGTGAGCGCAACGTCCCCTTGTGCTGTTAGAGCAGAGGTCACGTCACTGTGTCAGTCATCCTAGAAGAGGTGGGCTCAGCTGCTCAGAAGCTCACCATTTTTCTTTGACACATTTTGAGATTTAGAACTTATACTCTTTTTTACTCTGGCTCTCATATAAATCATTGGCTAACTTCGGGCAGTTAAAGTATGGGCCGGAGTGTCAAGAGCTTAGAAATAGAGGCTGGCAAAATGATCGGTGTGTTAAGGTGCCTGCCATCCAGGCTGACCTTAGTGTAATAACTGGAACCTATGCTGCAGAAGGAAAGATCCAAATCCCACCCCACCCCCTACCCCTTAGTTAAGCTGTGCTGTCAGCCTGATCTAGGTGCCTTGTCTCGAAGGAACATCCATCTTCCTTTAACTTTCTCCGAAGATTAAACAGATAGCCCGGATGTTTTTCTCATGTCCTTCATGAAAGAGAAGCAGCTTCCACATTTCTCTCCATTTGACTGTTGCCCTTAGGCCAGTCTCTTTTCTGCTGCCGCATTTCTGAAACACATGATGTGCAAAGTAGGCACTGTCCACTGCCTGAACACTCGCAGATGTATTCATTGGCTTTCTGGCTTTCTTCATAGGTTCCTCCTGAATTTGATTTCTCAGTTCACAAGTACTTTCCTGTTGTGAAACTGGTGTGAAAGAGACTGCAGAGATGGACTATATCCGTGCTGGGGACATCATTCTGCCACACACAGTGACGTAAAGTGGATTTCTTGGATGACAGCCTGTTATAAGGAAGATTTTCAGTTTAATACTCTTACCTGACGGGAATGAAAACTGCTGTTTTAAAGTGGTTTATAATACTCCACGGGTGTAACTGGGCTGGAATGCATTGGTGAACGTTACATGGTTTTATTACAGACTTAATTGTAAAACTTTTTTTAATGAATGAGTGAGTGAAATAGTGTTTGTAAAGTTAATAAATTTCTTCACAAAAAGTACACTGGTGCTTCGCTAAGAACTGCGGTCTGAACATCACCACCGAGCAGTGCAGGTCACCCAAGCTGGCCATGGCGCTGTAAGCCTTACATCCCAGCACTTAGGCAGAGGCAGCAGGATCAGGCTTCACTTACCCTCAGCTGTGTACTATGTTTGAGGCCAGCCTGGGCTATGTGAGATCCTGTCTTAAACACCAAACAGCCCCAAAAACTGATCAAAAGAAGTTTCAAAACATGAATTTATTAAGCATTTAGATTCTGTTGAAATTTGAAATGGATTTTGAGGGGGTACACAGATTCGCAAGGAGCTACAATCATAAAGTTTAAGAAACCACATCCCACTGCAGTGTCTGCTGCTGGCAGCAGCAGGCGAGGTGTGTACACTGCTGAGCTTTAGGTCTGTTTGAATGCGGTACACGCCTTTGTTCCAGCTGAGCCCTCAGACTGTATTGAGATGCGGGTTCTGTTCTCAGTCCACCAGCCAGAGGCCCCATCCTTGTTTTTCTGCCCATCCCTCTGCACTAGTGTATGTTATGTGACAGCTGTCTAAGCCTGTAGGGTTTCCCTTTTGTCCTCTGTAGGAGCAGTGGTTTTAGCACAGTGAGCTACCCTGAAGTTTAGCCTTTTTGTGTGGGCCAACGCCCAAGACCATCAGCAGTTCATTTGGCTTATGGTAAAAATGGTCCTGAGATTTCAGTGTCCTAGTTCTAATTTGACACTTTTTGGTGGTGCTGAGGATACAACCAGGGCCTCGTACATACTAGGCAGATGCTCTCAGGGAGCTGTGCCCCAACCCCATGACACCTTCCTTTTATCAAAACATTTCCTAGAAATACTTGGAAACATGCCTGAGTGAACTTGCTTGCAGTGCTAGCAGAGATGGAGGTAAGGATGTTGCTGACTTCCTCGTCAGTACTGAGATGGTCTGGCTCAAGTGTCAAGCAGAGACATTAGGCAGCTTGCAGTTTTAGAGCTCAGAGACCAAAGTGGTCTCCTCACCTGTTTTACTTGTTGAAAGAAAATCAGCATACTATGTCAGCAATGTCTATACTTTAAACCACAACCAAAGCTAAAGCAGGAAATGGGCACTAGAAAATACAAAGTCCCCTTGAACACGGAACCTTGGAGTAGAATGTAGTATGCTAACAGTGCGTCCGAGGACCTTGCAGGTAACAAATGTCCATCTAAACACAGGGTTGTATGTCAGATCGGGTGGGGTGAGCACCAAATCTGGTTATTTGGGCAGTGAGACACAACCTACATCTGCCACGGGTGACTGTATATGTTTTAAAGAGCGGAATGGCTTGACGGGAAGACTGGACCACCTGGGCATCCACTTACACTGCAGGAATTTTTCAGCCAGCCCCAAAGGCACTAGAGGTTTTCCAGTGGCCTCTAGTGGTGGTGCTTCCCAGTTAACCAGCACTGTCCACTTGAGTCAGACCCTGTGGACTGTCTCACTCTTCAGATAGCACTGGAAAGCAGTTCTGTTCTCAGGATGGCTGCTGTCAAGTTACAGTTGGTTAGAACCCAGTGATCAGAACCAAGGACCAACTAAAGTCAGGCCTAACACCATTATCATCAGGGAACTACATGAACCTTGTGGGTTTTTCAAACAATACATAACTACAGAAAAGCTGCTGCTGTTTCTCCTGCCTCTGTAGGTGTCCCAGCTGTAACCTGGGTGTCCCCAGCAGTCAGCCCTTCTTCCTGGACCGTCACAGCAGCACAGCTGTGAGTCTCTGGGCCTCTGTCCTTGCGGTGCTCTACATCCTGTCTGCTCTGACTGCCCCTGCAGCTTCTGTCCAGAGCCCAGTCCAGCCAGTGCCTTAGCACCAGAGACTTCCCTTTGCCCACTCAAACAAAAAACAAGGTAGAGACCATCGGTGCTCACATCGACTAAGTTAATAGTGTTCTGCACATCAAAAGAATAACAAAGGTTACTTGAACAAGTAGTCTTTTTTTTAAAAAGAAAAAAAAAAATCTTACCCCACAATTGGTGTTTTAAGATAGGGTCTTACTTTCTTGCCCAGTCTGACTTGGAATTCACTATGTAGCTACGGCTGGCCCAAACCTATAGCAATCTTCCTGCCTTAGTCTTCTGAGTCCTAGGGTTAGCCTGGTGTAGTGGCTGTCTTTTAATTTACTTTTGCACAGAACAACATTGTATTGAGACTTTTACACCGACGAGTGGCGTTTATGCTAACAGTAAGCTCTAGGCCATCGGTGGTGGAAATCAAGTATGTGCAGGAGAGATGAGCCACTCTCAGGTCCAGTGAACACAAACTGGCAAGCAGCGCACAGGAGGGGGCGCGGCTGTTCAGCTGTTTGCCAGCAGTTGGCCTCCTGCGGCTGCTCTGTCCTGCGGACACCGCCCTACAGGACAACTTCATTTCTCTTTTTGGTGTTACCTGACTTGCTCAAGAAATACCTATTAAGAAAGCTTGACCAATTTTGACATCCTCTGTAGATGCTTTAAAGGTCCCCAAACTGTCTTTGCTACAATGTACTGATTAAACCCCGGAATCATCTGCCGATGCGCATTTATTTTGTACATTTCAGGTTCGTACTCGGTCGCTGGAGCCTTTGCTGGATCTCTGTTCAGGCCTCCTGAGGATTCTGGACCCCTGCTTGATTTAGGATGGGCCTCTGCTTTTCACTCCCATTGGGTGCATTCAGTGGGCCTCTCTTCTGATCTTCATCATTAAAAACTGAAAACAGAAAGCAGTATTCCAATATTTGGGGAAACAGCCTGGTCAGGTCTCACTTCCTGTCAGTTCCTAGGATTTTCATAAAGAGAATCCACTTTCCACAGCACCACTGCAGCTTAGAATTGTGTTCCCATCAAGAGCAAAAGAAACCATGTGTGCAGCATGCCACAAACAATGCCGAAAGCCCTGAAAAGACTGCAGCTATTGAGCTAATAATAGTAATACAGCCCCCAGTGCTGTACAACCTCCAAAGGGTGGCGATCATAGCGCTCACTCCTTCCCAGAGCCACCTGCCTGCAGCTTCCCTCTAGGCCACCCGGGGTAGTGACTTTAGTCACAAGACTTAAAGCCAACGTAATTCATGTTTAATCCTGGTAGTGTTGAGACTACAGAGTCCCCGGGACAAGCCAGGTCTTAAGCTGTCCGTTTTATCCTTTTGTTTTGCCCTCACTCCGCTGACAGCGTTGCACAGATCAGAGTGCCCCACAGGCCTCGCATAACCGACTAAGACCACAGCTTTTCACCGCAAAGCCAGACATCTAGCAGGATAGTCAGCTGCAGGGGTGCTGCGCTGGAGCCAGAGGGCAATTCAGTAGTCATGTACACGGAAGAAAGATGGGATGTCTTGTATTTGCTTGGCATTCTTCCTGCTAATAAGTTATTTATCCCTGTGCCTCAGAAATCATTACCTCTATAGTACGTGATATAATCAAACGGAGGCTTCTGTAGAACCTCTGCAAGTGAGTTGCTGGATAAATACAGAATTGTAAGAATATACTGCTGAATCAGATACCCACATTGAAGGACTCTGTCTCCCAGATTAGGCCAGTACACTTGAAACAGGAGTATCTGAGTAAGTTGGGCCTGGTGGCATACACCATTAATCCCAGCACTCGCTTGGGAGGCAGAGGCAGGCAGTCTCGGAGTTTGAGGCCAGCCTGGTCTACAGAGTGAATTCCATATGCCCAGGACAACACACAGAAACCGTTGTCTTGAAAAACAAAACAGTGATAAATAAGGTACAGACACAGAGCAGGCAGGATAGGAAGTGTGGGGCGTGTGTGTGTCTAGATGACAGAGAGGACATCAGTTGGACAGGCATTCGCTATATTAGTGTACTATATCAACACTTCTTGTGGATGGTTGGACTGTGGTTACTTAAGGTGAGAACATTTGGGGAATGTGGAGAGAGGATGCATGGGAACCCTTTTGCTACTGTTTAAGATTTAGAAAGGATTTTATTTGTAGTTACCTGTCTGTAGATAGATACATATAACTACAGGGCCCATGGAAGCCAGAGGATCCCCTGGAACTGGAGTTCAGATGGTTATGAGCCACCTTATGTGGATACTGGGAATTGAATTTGGGTCTTTAACTACTAAACCATCTCTCCAGTCCTGAAGTTTTTTAAAAAATCCATCAAACATCAAGAATTACTCATGTGATAAGAGAAGGCGTTCTGAGTCCAAAGGTGAGGTGGGGTAATAACCAGGCAATAATTAAGATGCAAGCAGGCCAAAGGATTTCTGATGGAGCCTAAAGAGCCCGGACTTCTCCCTCTGCTTCTAAAGGTGTGAACGAAGCCTGAAACCTAAATCTGATCTCCAGATCCCGCATGATGGAAGAAGAGAACTGACTCTCACAGGTTGTCCTTTGACCTCTAGACATGCACAGTGGCACCCATGTGCCTACACATGTGTAATTTAAAAGGCCAAAACAATTCCAAAAAACACCTCAGGTTCTGAGGTAGGGAATCAAGCACAAAACTGAAACCCAGAGCCCCTGTTCCTGGTTTAGAGGTCAGCAGGAATAAACTTGCAGAGCAAGTGGGAGCAAAACGGTACAGAGCGCCAGCCACAGGACGCCGCACCCTTGCAATCCACAGTCCTTTGTGTCAGCAGAAGGACTTGCGCCTTGTGCGGCGGCGCCAGCGTGTCCCCTGGAGGACTACTTACTCATGGAGTGGCCTGTACTCCCTTACATGCCCCGTGACTCAGGTTCACGAAAACTAGTGCTCAGGGCTGCAGCATCGTCGACTGCACGGAAGCGGGAAACCACAGAGAACTGGGACAAAGAGCAGATGGCACAGAATCTGCAAATGAACGTGTGAGCTGGGTGAACACTGCACATGCTGTTTGAGTCCAGAAAGGCAGAGACAAAGGACTTAGTAGGGCAGAGCAGAGTGCTGCTGATCAGCACTCGGAGTCAGAAGGGACAAGAGCCTTGTCAGAGACGCGTTTCGTCAGCTTCTCTAGAGGGCTAGCCACAGCGGAACACTGGTTAAGAGGCAGTCAGCAGAGAATCTAATGATTGGGCCCAAACCAGGTGTGGAGTGACTCTGGGGTGCCCTGGTCATTGTTGGGAAAGCCCTAAATCTCTAACGGCACGCCCTCTGATTTCTGGGGCATCTCTGCTCTCACCCTGCCCCACTACCTCACTTGCCAGGACTTCTAAAGAAAACAGCCTCTCCAGATGGGGTGGCACTCAGGAGGCAGAGGCCGGTGGAACTCTGTGAGTGTGAGGCCAGCCTGGTGTAAAGAGCGAGTTCCAGGACTGACAAGGTTGTTATACAGAGAAACCCTGTCTTGAGAAACCAAAAAGACAAAGAGTCTCCCTGAATGACCACCACTTATCAACAGTTAAAGAAAAGGAAGAAAACAGAAGGTGAGCCCTCCCACACACTGTTCCTACCGTTTCTATCGCCGTCGTTCCCCGCAAGGACGGCCTGCTTGTCTCTCTCAGACTCGGCTTCGTTTTCGTCTGTGTCATAGTCGTCTTTCAGCTGCTGCTGGTTCCTCTCTGTAAAACCAGCACACAGGACGTCACCACGTCACCACATGTCATTGTTGACATCACTGCAATACCAGACCCGTACCTCAGAAAACTGCCCGACTTGTGAGCTTCTTCCCAGTACAAACACCACGGAGACTACTGGAAAACATGCCCCTTCAACACTGAGTCTAGAAAATTCAGCCCTGGTGATGGAAACGCTAGTGCACAAAGGCTGTGGGCTTCATTCCTAACAAAACAAATGAACGAAAAAAAAAATCCTAGGTAAGAAGCCATGATTCAGTCAGGAAACTGAGAAACTATACACGTTTTTTGAGAAAGGCAATCAACGGATTAAGGAAAAGCAACCTGTTTCAGGAAATAATAGGTTAATGATGGGAAATGACAGTGGCTTCTCAGAATGACTCCAAGAAAGGGTACGTGTGAATACCATGGGCTTCCACATACAGGATTGGACTGTCCACAACCATGCTCTCCCCTGGATAAAGCACAGAATGCAGACTAGAGACAACAGGAGTCTCCCTGGCAGTGTGTGTACATGGGGAGGCCCAGCAGACCTTCCTTAAAAGGAACGCCTAGAAAATCTCTACTCCGCTTTTATTCTCTGATATAGAAGCAGCAAGAGCAATTCTCGATCCGTGTATCCGCCAAATGAGATCGTTACCGCTGCCCGCGGAAGCCGGTGCACCACACAGGCCTGGTCACGCGTGTCTGCCTTTAGCTGTTCCACTTCAAGTCCTGTAGCTCAGCTGAGTGCCACCAGAGTGGGGTCCCTCCCTCCCCTCGTGAGCACCACGGGACTAGGTTCTGACAGTGACACTCAGCAGCAGGCTGACAAAATGCACCCTTAAGCAGAACAACAGAGGAACATGTTCTGAAGGAAAGACTGACAGAATTAGACGCATCCCTCAGGTCTGGCATTTGTTCCACTCAGGGGCACAGGTGTCATCATGAGTGCACCTGGGGCCACAGAATGGGAAGTTTCCACACCTTTAAGGCAGCAGAATACTCCTGAGATACTTGGCTGAACGAAGACTCCACTCTCTAAGGAGGGGAGGAAGGTGGGATTCAGCTGTCACGGCTCCTCAGATGCGGGGATCCCACATCCCTCCCTTCAGGCACTCTCAGTACATAACCCATAGCAGGTAGAGACAGACAGGTGGCCTACCTGCCCGGTTTCCCTCTCGATAATGGACATCAAATAAACACAAGCCATGAAGGCCAGTTGGTGAAATTCAAGACGTGTCCAGTGCTGAGAAAATGGAGAGAGCGGAGTGCCTGGCAGGACGTCTGGGAACCCTCAGGGCCACCCACCTTCCTCAGCAGCACGTGGCTTCTCCTGCTCATCTTGGACGACAAGCTGGTACCGCTCGGGGTACTGAGAATCCTCAGGCTTGGCCAACAGGACAGCTGGCCCTTGTGCGAGCTGCGGAGGTCTCCCAGCTCCTACAGGTGTGTCATTCACGGGGGCCTGGTTTTGGACTGATGCCTTCGGTGGTCCCTGGCCATGCTCCTCACTGACAATCTGAATCTTGTTGCTTTCCTCTGCACAGAACATAGTTAGATATGATAGCAAGAGCATCCTTTGTTTTGGTTTTGTTGTTGTTTTGAGACAGGGTTTCTCCGCGTAGCCCTGGCTGTCTGAAAGCTTTGTACACCAGGGTGACCTTGAACTCAAAGATCCTCCTGACCCTGAGAAACTTGAGAGTGAGTGCTAGGACTAAAGATGTGCACCACCATGCCTAGCCTTTCTGGGCGTGGAGCTGACACCTATCATCCTGTCACTCCGGAGGCAGGGGCAGGAAGATCCGGCCATCGAAAGCCAAATTTGGCTACATCAGCAGTTCTCGGGCTTGTGGGTTGCAGCCCTTTTAGCAAACCTCTATCTCCAAAACTATTTTCATTACGATCCATAACAGCCACAAAATTACAGTTATGAAAATACTTTATGGCTGGGTCATCACAACGTGAACTATATTAAAGGGTCACAGCATTAGGAATGTAGGCTACACAGTCAATGTGGGGCCAGCCAGCCTGGGATACTCTGCCTCAGACAAAACAGAAGGAAGAAATGGTAACATTAACTACAAAAAATGCATGCAGCACACCCATCATCCCAGGACTTGGGGAGGCGAAGGCAGCAAAGTCAGTTCCAGGCATGGCTGCCCAGTGAGTTTGTGCCCAGCCTGGGCTGCACAAGAACTTATCTCAGAAAAACAAAGAAGGATCGCCGCTTCATTCCTAGGGTGTCATCAGAAAGCATGGCTGCAGGCGAGCTGCGCACTTCGGAGTAGCTGGCTAGGAGCTGGGCCTCCGACATCCTCTCCTGACCACAGGCTTCTGTCCTTCCTCATCTTCTGATTAAACAGCTAGAAGTTCAGGGCATGAGGGCCCACACCTTTAATCCTAGCACTCAACAGAGGCAAGTGGATTTCTATGAGTTCGAGACCAGGTTGGTCTATATAGCGAATTTCAGGTCAGCCAGATCTACATAAATGAGATCTATCTCTAAACAAAAACAAAACAAAACCCAATGAACAAACAAAATCAGAAAATAATATGGATTCAGGTACCCCGACACCCTGAGGGCTAGGCTCTCATGGTCATTTTGTTTAGGACAAGTCTGGGGGCCCAGTGTCTGCCCCTAAGTCCCACAATTCTCCAGTACCCTGAATTAAAGTGCTGTCTGTACCTGTACATAGCTGCCAAGGAACTGAGCACTCAGCTTACAAGGACGAGGTGTTAGTAAGGCAGTGTGGAAGCCTGCATCCCCCATCCAGGGACTCAAGAGAAAGGACCACCAGCTGGCTATACTGCCCAGTCTCGGCTACCTCAAGGCCCACTCTGCCCTCAGCGTCCACACCACCCTCCCAAACCATACACTGATGCTTGGATTTGCAGGACATGCTTACCATTCTGCTCGTGTGGTTTCAAATCCCGCACCTGTGAACTGGGGACTGGTGTCTGGGACTGGTTCCTGGGCACAACCCTTTCCCCTTGTGGCAGCTGACCCTTTGCCAGGACAACATCCTGAAGCTTGACTTGAGGCTTGAGGGGCTGGAATTGAAATAAGCACAGGTCTCTGAAAGTAGGTCACGGGATCCTCACTGCGTCCACCAGCAGGTAAAAACCCCTAAACTAAAACACCACCGTCTACTGTGTCACACGGCATAGAACAGTAGACTGCGGTTAAGTCCAGGTCCTCCAGAAAACACACTCAACAATGAAAGAAATAAGGGGAAATGTAACCGTTTCAATACACCAAGTTACCTGACCAAATATCTATAACGCGCAGCCCACTACTAGGACATGCTCACCCTGTCCAGGGCACGTGGGCCTAACATGACTGACTCACACAGAATACATTCTCCCATCTTATGACATGGAACTCGAGAAAGTCACAGATACGTGGAAATTAGCATTCCCAGATGACCAAGAAGCTGTCCGTTTCCTTTAGTTACTCTCAGACACTAAAGGAGCTGAGGGAAGGGGACCGTCCAACGTCAGTCCCTTTCTGCCACTTGTTGGGCATACTGAGAAGCAGGACATAGTCCAAAGCACAGGCTCATTCCTATATCTAGCCCTAAAGAATGTATGTCTCTGCTCCATCATCTTACAACGGGTGGTAGACAACCTATTTACAGTAGACCCCTTTACCCAGCATATCCTGTCCCATGGCCAAGTACAAGACTAGAAGGCACCCTGTAAAACAAGACCAATCTGGAGACAGGAAACATTGGAAGCACACAGTGGTACCTGACATACCAGGTCATGGATTTAGAGCAAACGTGGCTAACATACAGAGAGCCCCAGCGAATAAAGTAAACAATGAGGTGGAGACAGAAACGTTAAGGGAAGAAAAGAAATAATGAAATAAAAATGCTGTCATGTGAATGAAGTTTTGGTGGCTCATATGTACACTAGCTACAGCCAAGGGACAGTTTCCCAAGTTTAGAGAAAAAATAGAAACCTACTGAAAATGAAAAACAGCGAGAACATAGTCTGAAAACATGAAACCAATCCCAAAGACAGTAAGACAACTACAGATAGGATCCCTCTAACTCAGGGTGGGAGGCAGACGTGCATGGTCACTGTAGATCCCTCTTACTCGGGGTGGGAGGCAGACATGCATGGTCACTGTAGATCCCTAACACTCAG